CTCTAAATGTTTTGTTGATAACTGTATCTCGCAGGTGACTCTGAAATCTCACTTCTAGAACATGCCGCCAGCATCTTGCCCTATGACCCCATGGAGCTAGATGACCCTGGATTGCATGCTGGGAAACATAGCAAAGTTTTGACTTTCACATCGTACATGGTAAGTCATTAGAACGTTGACAGCCCATAGTGTGTTTGAGTGTAGGACCTCTGAAATGCCAACTCTTCACAATCACACTCCGGCTCTTCCTGGCTGCAGAACAAGGAGATGTGTTTTGTCACAGTTTCCCCAAGTGTGGCTTGATATGGATTTGTTGCATGGTTTCTGTGTCCCTTTTCTCTGATGTTTTTCTCTCCTTAAAAACCTGAACTCTGCCTTTCAGTTTCAAAGATGGTCTCCTGGTTAGTCCCTACTGTTTCCTGTACACGTAATCCTTAGCTTCAAGTATGTTCTCGTAGAACATGCTCACCCTTTTTCCTTGTGATGTGAGCTCATGCTCCATGTAAACAAACCAAGTGGGAGTTCTTATCCAAGCAACCAGTTTTCTTTCAGGGAGCATGCTGTGTGCACGTGCTTGCTTTCTTGCATCTGGCACTAGTGTATGTTCAAGTAATTCTAAATTCTGTGGTGGATTTGTAAGATTTGTAACTTTGCATGACAGAAGCTAGGCTAAGAGAAGGTTTGCAATTACCACATGTGAAAATCAATCTCTTCAATAAGAGTGATGGTTCTGGATGTGACACAATTTTGTTTGAGTTTGTCTCTTAATCATGTTAATATACTTTATATAACTGTTTTCAAGACATGTTCTTAAAAAAAGAAAAAATCTTTTTAACAAACATGAAGTTGAGGCTATGAATGGATATAGTAGTAGTTAATCTTAAAATTTCAATGTAAAAATCACATATTATCCTAGGTATTATTCCCGTTTATTTGAAGGTTCATGACGGATATGTTAATGTTATGTTAAGACTTCATTTTCAAATAATAGCAACAAAAACATAACTGCATCTTTTAGTAAACACTTCACAGTAGTTTCAGTCACCATCCATGATTAATAATCCAAAATCTTCAATACTTTGTTTCACCCATTCCAATGTCACTCCAAAAACTTGTGTACACTATTCAAAGAACTTGTGCTCGGGATTTCCTGTTTAGTTGGGCACCGTCAAACTTACAGTACCAAGACAATTGTCATAAGGCCTTTCTACACTACAGCCTCTCAACACTGGGTGAACCCATGACCACCCTGGAGTTGAAAATTTGCTTTTTCGACCCTGAGTTCAGCCCGAAGTTTCACTCTTGTTTTGTTCAAAGCAAGCTTATCGGGGCAAGTTAAACCCACATACATGTATGAGCGCAAACAATTTTTGACCTGGGTAAAAAAAATCTCAACCCTGGTCCGGAGCAGGGTTGAGTTCAACCCGGGTTGAAGTCAATCTCGGGGTTGACACAGGGTTGGCGTTGGGATTCAAAATATTCAAGTGTGAATTATCACCAGTTTTCAGCCCTACATCAACCCGAGATTTGTCTGGTGTGAAAATGCCTTATCTGTAGGTATTGCAAAAAAAAAGGTCAATAATAGTCACTTGCGGGCATTTCACGTTCATTTCAGACTTGTACTTTTCTTTGTTTGTTTGTTTTTTTGCCAGGTATCCATATTAGATTACACCAAACCGTCCGAGCTGAAGAAAGACATCAATCAGAAGTTTAAAGACAAGTTTCCACATATAGATCTGTCCCTCAGCAAACTGAGAAGGTACATGTTGGCTGTAGAGTTTAGAATTTGTGAACTTACCTTGACAAACTGATGGAAAAGGATTTCAAGGACAGAGCAGTGCTTGTGATTTTTGGCCACCATAATCAAACTGTCCAACACACTGTGGCTGAGTGTTAATCCCAAGGAAATCCACTCAACATTAAACATAGCTGTGACATTGTTATCCTAAACTGAAGTTTGCATTTCACTCAAAAGACGATACCTTCCATCCCTGTTATAAACCCATCAGGATTGTCTAGTACCTTGACATCCATCTCATTTAGAGGACAAATGTGGAGCACACACTAACCTTATTCACAACATTTTGATTAATGAAACAACTGCACTTGTGGTCACGTTTTTGTGCTTTACAATATAGTTATGACACTTGGTATTATATTACTCAACACTTCAAGTCTGGTACCAGAAATTCACAGCATTGGCTGTTCACATAAAGAAATGCTGACTTGCAGAGTTCCAAAAATGTTATCTGGTTTAATGAAAAAAATTGGCTAGAGAAGCTATTTTAACGACTGTTTTGCGACCACCATGAAATTTTACTCAAACGGTTGTCATAAAAGCTGTATTAATGTTACTTAAAACATTAATACAGAGTTCCAAATTAAGTGAAATTCACTGTACTTGTAAACTACTGGATAAATTCTCGAGTGCATATAAAATGCACGCTTGCTGCTAGTTGTGCCCCATTTTGTATAATTTACTCCCGAAGTTTGAATTTCAAACTACAACTAAAAACGCAGCAGTTGCTACTCCTGTTGTAATTTTGCAGAGGTATCAGCAGCAAGCATCTTCTGTTTTATTTTTGTGAAACCTGGCAGTCTTGTCATATTGTTGTCCTTGCAGTATCAAGAGAGAAATGAAGAAAATAGCCATTGATGCAGGTACTTTAGAGCTGCTGACGTTAGCCCATGCCTATGTCTACTATGAGAAACTCGTCCTGAATGGCAAAATCAACAAAGAGAATAGGAAATTATGTGCAGGTGAGTGTCAAGAGCCGTCTACCTCCGACAGGAACAACAAACCTGAATTGAATAATAGGGGATTCCGGTCACACTGGTCATACTCTCTCCATTGTTATTCTATTGAGCCTAAACTTTGCTGAACCCAATGATATCCAACAGTTGGTTCTTTCTGTAGGATTTTCTTGATGTGAGTAGTCATTGAAAGAACTTTGTCTTAGCTATTGAATTCTGTCTGGTTCAGTAGGTTTCACACTGTTTCTGTTGTATCCTGTTAGATTCAGCGTGGTGCCTAGAGAAAAATATGAAGGGGTTAGGATTAAACTCAGAATGTCCAGGCAGGCAAGGCAGGCAGGCAAGGCAAGGCAGGCAGGCTAGGCAGGAAGGCAGGCAAGGCAGACAGGCAGGCAGGCAGGCAGGCAGGCAGGCA